TGGGAGTTGCAGTCCAAGAACACCTGGGTTACCCAAGGTTGGGAACCACTGTTCTGATCAGGATCAGAGGGCAAAACAGAAGGCAGGGCCAGGGAACAAGACCACCACAAGAGAGAACGCAGGCGAACCTTTTGGCTGAAGCAAAGTTCCATTGAGAAAGGAAGCCTCTTATCCTCCTCCTCCACACACAGAAAGCCAACGGCCAGTCTCCAGAAAAATATTTTACTGGCAGCTACAACACTACCACTTTCGCCATAGGGCAGTGGCCACTGATACCTCAATGTTAACTTACATTATCAATAACAGCAGTAGACAATGGGGTATAGAATAACTTCGTAACAAGGGGAGCCATAACATTATTTCAAGAAAGAAAGGAAAGAAGAAAATCTGTAATTAGCCAAAGGAACTGCTAATTACTCCCCAGCCCCAGCTGATCATATGGTAACCGTTAGACAGTTCTTTGGATCCTACCATATGTCTGGAATGATTGGCAAAAGCATTCCATATGCTTTGAAACCTTCTAATCATTAACTTATTGTGAAGAAAAATGAATTTTTAATCACTACAGTCCTCACCGTGTTAGTGGAAAATTACATGAAGAAGACTGAGGATTGATCTGGCCCCCTGACCCCAGCCTTCTTACAGAGATTTGTACATTTTTGCACATAATGATCCGCATCTCCCACCTCCTGCATGCAGGGTGTCAGGAGTATATCCTTCCCTATGGGTTCCATCACCTTAACATATTGGTTACTGGGTGTGACACACTTTTATTTCAGTAATAATCAGTCAGAATACCCCGCTATCCCTCTCCTGTTATTGGCTCTGCTTATGGTCACCAGCCCCATGTTACTCATAGTCTGAAACTGGAGCTGAGTTAGAATCATTAGATACAGTGGCCAGGCTTTTCTCGGTGAGGCTGGTATGTTCATATGGCAGCTGGCCCTCCTGCTGGAACTGACCCTTGTGCTCCCGGGCCAGCTGCATGAGCCACTGGTATTGGCAGCACCACCTCCAGCACCACTTCTGCATCAGGGCTGGGCACCCCAGTTGAAGGATGTCCCCTCTGCTGTCCAGCCAGTCCTGAGGTGTTGGGACAGGATGCTTGATTCACCAAGTCCTGACCCCAGGTGAAGGTGGCCCACACTCCTGTACGAAAGGTTTCTTCTTTTCCCTTAAGAGCACAGAAGATGGGCCGCTGATCCTCCACAGTCTCGAACCAGTTCTCCTCCTCTATTCTTTCCTCCTCCTAGAAGGCTGCCCCTGAGCGCTACTCCCTGCTAGTTCAGCCTGTGCTTCTGGAGCCATTGCTCCTCCATCTCTCCTTGTCCGCCCATGCGCGGCAACTTGACATCATTGCCTTCGGGCTGCCTTACAATGAAGGTCTCTCGATAGTCCTCCCGAAGGCTGGCAGATGAGGTGGACACCCCTCCTGGGAGAGCAGAGGCGTCCTTTTTACACACCCATATAACATAATTTCATCCACTCAAAACAAACAGAGAAGGGGAAAGTTGAACTCAGTAAAACACCGTTCACTCAACTGACATTTCGTTTCTTTATTCACACATTCCCACTTCTCCTTCTGGAGCCCTATACAGATTGATGTAAAATGACAGGATGCTGATGTAAAATGTTAAGAAACTGCCTGCCTCAAATATAAAACTGATGATTAAGCATGGCATTTTAAAACAGAGCCTTTAAAAAAATCAACCACTAGTAGAGAAATAAGGAATAATTCCACCGCAAGAATGTTAAGAATGCTGTTTATCATAAGAACACATCTATCAATTAATGACAAGTTCAATGTTTTTGACAGGGACCTTACACTTTAGATAAACTCTTATAAGAACAACACTCAACTTTGAGAATAAAAACTATAAATGAATGTTTCTTTCAACACAAAGTCAATATTTTTAGCCATTTAAACATTTTATCATCGTTTTTCCTTGGGAAAGTTTTTATATACAACCTCACATTTTACATTTCATTGACACTCATTTGAAAGTCAGAAAGAGATGAATTGATTTTCTACAGGATAGAGTTCTCATAAAAGAGGAAGAAAGTTACACTTTACTTCATGGTCTTATTTACATTATAGGTAAAAGCAAAATAGAAAAAAAATGTGGTGGCACCTTAATGATAAACTACTACATTTTTAATGTATGCTTTCATGGCAAGTCATCTTCATCAGACATAAGAGCTTTTTATTTCTATTTTGCTTTTACCTATAATGCTTGCACAGACTAGCACAGCTGCCCCTTCTACAGCTGTTCCTATTTACAGTATTTTACTTTGTGCATTTCCTTTGTTGATGAAGGTTAGGCCTGCTGTTGCTTTTTAAAATGACAATCATTTATATGGAGTGCTAGACAAAACTTTTGTATTATTAATGATTAATAAAAGTAATGACATAAAAATTTAGGATGACGGCCAGAGTGGTCTCCTGTCTGGTTCAACAGCACAGTCGTCTCTAGGGTATCTAGACATTTCCAATCTGTGAGAGCGTGATTAAAGACACCCGTTATTAAAATACATTCTCTTCTGGGCGCCTCTCTTATTCCATTCTGTGCTTCAAGTTCCCTTTTAGCAATGGATAAAGCCTTGGCAGCTTGTGCCTGCTGTGGCTGGTGGGGGAGAGGTGGGTGGAGCCAGAGTTACTAGCCATGCAATACACAAAAGTGGGTATTCACACATCAGCACAGGTACACAGAGGGAGGGAGGGGAAAAGCTAGCACACACAGAAGAAGGCAGGCAGGCAGGCAATCACTTAGCCACTCCCTCACACCATTCCCTCAACTCCATAACTGAGCTGAGAAGCCAAAAAAATAAAATAAATAAATCTATTCCAGCCCCCATCACATTGGAAATGTTCCTGCCTGCTGCTGTTTCCCTTTGTGCCTGGTCTTAAAGCTAGCCAGGAGGCATATCCATTCTCTTTCCTTCTGTCCTAATCTTTCTTGTCTCCCTTCCCCTCGGCCAGGCAGAGTTCATTAAAGCAGGCAGTTCAACAGGAGAGTGGTACAGGAGAACCCTGACTCTCCATTTCTCCTAAGGAAGGAGGCAGGAGCAGTGAGCTTATATATAGCATTCAAGTTCCTTAATTTAATTTTTCATTTAGCTAAGCAAACATCATTAAAAATATTTTATGAAAATACTGCAAAAAATGTTGCACAAGATATCATGAAAGCATCATTTTGCCTGAGATATATAAAAGAAGATCTTACCTAGATTTGTGAAAAAGCGCTTTTTCACTAAAGCCCAATTATACTATGATTCAGTATAGTATATTTCTTAACATGAATATACCTTGCCGGCATACAGTTTCAAGTTTCTAGTGTTATGTCCTCTAATTTCTTCTTTTGCTCCTGGTTTTCCAGCTGAATTTGTTTCTTTTTACATGCTTTTCTTATCAAAAAGTGGCTATAACAATCTAAGGTTATCTCTTAACAGCATCTAAGCAGTGAGGGTATTTTTATCTACATCAAAGTTATGTGACAATATTTATGAACTTTTTAGTACTTGCTATAAAAGGTCAAAAACATTTAATTTTTATCAGTCTGGCTTTTTAGGTGGTCTATTTTCCATCTGCATTTTTTTTCCTGATGGCTGGAAATTATCATATATTTATTAAACATATTCAAACTCTTACCAATGCTAATTGATCCTCCCATATTAACCCATTATTATTTATGTGAACAATAAGCTTATTAGTTTTGGATGAAAGCCAATTGTACATGAAAGACACCTTTTCAAAACTTCTGTTTAATTATTTGTATTGATGGCCTCTGTTGAACTCTAAAAGACATATTTCTAAGCATCTTTTTAGTTATTTCTTACCAATATGTGAAACAGATAACTTCCATTCAGGTATTTGCTTAAATCAAGTTTCTATTTTGACTATCTAATTAAGCAAGATATTGCTAAGAACAATAATTCTGCCAATATCTGCATGTTTTACCTGGTGTAACAGCAGCTAGCCAGGCGGAGGCGCTTGTTTGAGCTTCTTTTGAGCTACCTACCCTCATTTATTCACACCTGATACTCTTCAGATGCATCCAAGTACTAACCTGAAACAGCAGCTAGCCAGGCGGAGGCGCTTGTTTGAGCTTCTTTTGAGCTACCTACCCTCATTTATTCACACCTGATACTCTTCAAGATGCATCCAAGTACAGTACTAACCTGGCTAAACCCTGCTAAGACAAGATTGCAAGACAGTCGGACCCCCGTCTCTGTGGGGGATAAGCCCCACCCTCCTACAGATGCTGAAAAACACTGTCAAAATCGGGTTCAATGCATTCCAATGGGGGAGAAAAAAATTCACCAAAAATTAACGAAGAGCTGAAAACTGTTTTAAATGCTTGGATTTGTTAGAGCACCTTGTAAAACATGTGCAAACTTAATTTGGCTTTGTTCTGACTCTTCGTTAATGTTTGGCGAATCCCCCCCATTGAAATGCACTGAACCCGATTTTGACAGCTGTCAAAATTGGGTTCAACGCATTCCAATGGGGGAGAAAAAAATTCACCAAACATTAACGAAGAGTCAGAACAAAGCCAAATTAAGTTTGCACATGTTTTAGAAGGTGCACTAACGATTCCTAGCATTTAAAACAGTTTTTGAACATTTTAAGACACTTTTAAAATTGCAAAAACGGACTTCGTTAAGCGAAACAGGGGACCCAAAACGCATTCACTATGCGAAGCATGGTCCCGAAATCGCTAAGCGAAAATCACCCATAGGAAACATCGTTAAACGATGCGGAAAATTCTTTTAAAAAACCATCGCTAAGCGAATACATCGTTAAACGAGGCAATCGCTAAGCGAGGCACCACTGTATGTGGTGTATGTTTCACCAGCTTATCTTTTTTTGTGACATGGGTGTCTTGTGACCAGAACTGAACACCAACGCAGCCATTTGATGACTGCCTTACAATTCTTACTCAAAATGTGAAATATGCCCACTGCCTGCAAAAGGACCTCTGCTCTTAAGCATCTCTTACCTCATGGTTGGAGAAGAGTCTGACCCCTTCCAGCTGGTGGAAGACTGGATAATGGGTGCTATCGATCTGATCACGACGGTAAACATCTCCCACCACCAGAAAAGCATCAAGTCCAGAGTGCATCAAGTCCCACTGGTGGGCAGACGTGTGAGCTCTTAGCATGTGAGTATGATTCAGGTAGTAGTTGTCCCCTTTCTTCCGGCTGGGATGGTCTTGTGGAATAAGCAGCCTATCGAAGTTCTGCTCCACAGTGACCACTGGAGACAAATCATCATACACTGAAAACCGTGGGGTTCCAAAGCGTCCTATATACTGCTTGTAAAAGTGATCTTTCACACGCTCTTTGATCAGCCACAAAGGGTGATTCCTTTGGTTGTGCAAATTTTTGCCCACTTTGGAAAGAATCTTCGTTGTCACATTGCTGTAGCTATCTGGAACATAAGATTTGCCAAGCAGTTCCACTGTGTTTGCAGCAGAGGTACGGGCAGTAACATCTGAAGCTATACTTCTGCACCAGGCGTGGCTAAAACTAGAAGTTCTTTTTACTTGAATTCCCCACAGTGAAATCACTTTCCCGCGATGGACCATTTGTATTAAATTTCTGGGTACAGCCATCACCTTGTCCTTCATGTGCTGAGAAGGAAATAAAATAAAAATAATGATTTCCTTCTGCTGTGCAGAAATTGCTGAGAAGGGAAAAAAACCTATAAAATATAAATTGTTTTATACACACACACGCACACACACACACAAAGTATGTATGCTATACTATACAGTAGGACTCCCATATCCACAGGGGATTGGTTCCAAGTCCCCCCACAGATGCTGAAAAACATGGATTATAAAGAATGCTGTTTTAATAATAAACACTACAATAGCATGGCCTCTGGCATCCTCTAGTGGCCAGTTCTGGTAACTTCATCTTTAGAAATATATATTCTAGGATTTTTCTTTTGACAGTGTCAGTATTTTCAGATTGTGGATAAGTGAACCAGTGGATACAGATCCCGTGGATAAGGGAGTCCTACCGTATATGCCAGAGGGAATGAGCAATTCAAGTTCAAATATGCCAGTGTTCTAATACAAAATGCATAATTTTCATGTCTTCGTTTGTTGCTCCTCAGTTAAAGGAAACTCATTTTTGAATACCTGCCTGAAGAGACAGTGGTGCTCTGAAACATCAAGAGCTTGTGTTTCTTGAACAGTGCCGATAAACAACACCAGATGTCGTCCAAATGGATTCAACAGCGGTCTTAAAAAATACTGATCGTACTCATACGTTGGCAGAAGATCAGGAGAAAACTTCAGTAGATTCGTCTGTCTGTCATTAAGAGATCGCCATTTAATTGCTAGGGCAAGACAGGAAAGCAAAGTTAATGTTGAGTATCAAACATTATAAACAAAGATCACTAAGTTTTGTGAAGCAGTTACAAATAACATTTGCTGACTAGAGGTTGAAGATGCAATGAAAAAATGATTAAAGCCATTGCTACCTTTTTTGAAGCTGATTTAATCCAGGTGACTCCTTAATGAAAAACATTAAGCTCACATGTGACACTACATTCATGAGCCAGTTTCATTTTCTTCTGGTGGTTATGAGGTGGCAACAGCAGATACAGGAACAGTTTTGAAATTCTCCTGCCTTTGTGGGAAGAGGCAAGTGCCAAGAACCAATTCCTCAGCAACAACTTTTTGCATTACTAGAGCAGAGATGAAAAAACCTCTGGCCCATGGGCCAGATTCAGCTCATGGAGTTTTCCCATCTGACCAGCAAGCCTCTTCTGTTGCCACCAACCAGTGATCAACAGTGACAGATAAGAGACTAAATAAAACCCAGGAATCTATTGCATGGAACCAAGGTATAATTTGCAGCCCCAATCCAAGAAGATGGGAATATAGCGTGGTTTTACAGCCTAGGAATTATTTTGCCACAGCTTACTTCTGAAGAGACTAGCTTTGTTTTATATAACTGGTAGGCAAATGTGTGAATTAATCATCACTATATGTGGCTCCACATTTGCTGTGCCGTGCCGTGTACTTTTGGTCTTGCCCACCACATATATGCAGCCCCCCCACACCTTTCTCAAAATAAAATTCATTCCCAGCAGACTAAAATGGGTTCCCCACTTCATGTGGGAGCAGCAGAGGACTACACGACTCCATATATTTCACTCTAAACAGAAGAAACCTCTAAGAATAGGAAAAAAGAATCCTGATAGTCTCCTAAGCCCTACTGATTCTGCACTGGCCACGGCAGAAAGGGGAAGGAGAAATTTGGAGGAAGACATCTGCAAGGGAATCTCACTATTCCTAGAGGAAGTGGTCCATTGTATCCTACAGCTGCCACAGTACCCTTCTAGGGACCACCCTAAGGGTTCCATATACAGTACATTAGATCTCAAATACTGCAAATCCAGACATGTCTGTAAGACTAACTTTATTGGTAGGCATCTTATAGCTCCAGCTGAGGTGCACTCCAATGAAGGGGTGGCATCACCACCTGCTCAAGTTCCCATCCAATGGTACTCGTCTTGAGGTTTTTCCCCTCAACAGATAAAAATGGTGATCCAAAGTCCCCACATCACATATGCACCGTGATTCAGAAATCATTGCGAAATGGTGACCAGATGGACTGCTAAATATACAGATTCTCTAAACTGTCATTTTAAACCGAAATTCCCTGCTGTCCAAAATATTAGGAACTGGGGCTGCCTTCTTTTTTCCATCTGAGACATTTCTTCCATGTGAGCAGAGTTCTACCAGTGTAACATATGTTAAAAACAAAATAATAAGTATATGCCAAAAGTTCTAAAATTGGACCCTTACCAAGCTGTTTATCAACTTAAGTAAGCACTCTCTTTTAGCATGAAAATGTGTGTGGGCACAAGGCTGTAAATATTACAGTCAGCTGTATATTGTATGTCTAAAGCCTCTTTGGTTAAAATGGGGTAGTAGTCAAAAATGGGTGGCACTCAATTTAAGTAGAAAGAAGTGTGGTCCTTGCACAAATTCCAAAACCACTGGTGGGTAAAATATCTCAATTGGACCACTAGAAAAGGGATGGTCTCTATTGCCTTGTATCAAAGCCACTAGTTCCTGTTCAGCTAGAAGCAGAGACACCCAGAGGCATTGCAATCCCTCTGTCAGAAGAGCTGGAGATTAAATTTAGTTAATGCACTAGGCTAGTGGTTCCCAACCTTGGATCCAAAGATGTGTTAAAACTCTCAGAAATCCTGGCCAGATCAGCTAGTGCTGAGGGCTTCTGGTAGTTTTAGTCCCAAGAACATCTGGGAACCCAATACTGCGAACCACTGTATTAGTTCCCAATGTCAACTGGAGCCAAGTTAGAGTATTATCAAGAATGGAGAATCTACCAAGTGGATGAAAAGATTTTGTCTGCAAAAAGAGGAACGGCAAGCCATCCTACATAGCCTGAAATGAAACCACAAACCTCAAGCTGAAGCACTACTCTTGGCCATCTCCATTCTGGGATAAGAATTTAACTCGCATCCCGCTACTGCAACATCTGATAAGGATGATTTTTGCACTATTCTGTTTCTTCCGCCCCATAACCCTCTTCAGCTCTGTGACACCTGGCCTACTTTTAGTTTCTTTCGTGATCAATAAAGGTTTTGCCCATATTTCAAATATAACTAGCACTGCCTAGTTTTCAGTGACTGCTGACATTCTGAAAGCTACAAAAAAAAGTCATTCTTAAGGAAGCATGAGTTTATATTCTCTACCTCAATGAGGTATACCTGGAAACAGGGGACTAGATAAAAAATAGTCCAAAAGCAGCTTCATTCAATGACATCTCCTTCCATGTTTCCTCACTAACACAAAAGGAGTTGCTCTTGATGACCCTCTGGGGTACCTTCCAGCTCTATAATTCTATGGAAGGATGCATGAAATGAAATACACAGGTAATTGGTACCCCTGGAAGTAGAGGCACCTATACAAAAGAATAGCCCTGTTGGATTATACCAAAGCTGACCTAGTCCAGCATTCTGCTCATATGGGCGATCAAGCAGATGCCTACAAAAAGTAGAGAAGCAGGTCCTGAAAGCAACAACTAGCACCTTCTTGCTCAGGTTCTTCAGCAACTGGTCCTGAGAGGCAAATTGCTTCTATTGGACATAACGTAAGTAACATAAAACCAAGATGCCTAATAGCCATTGATTATTTCATCTCTCATTACCCTACCTAATTTACTGCAAAAGCCATCCACACTGACGGTCATCACATTCTGAAGCTGCCAACTCCCCAGCTGAATGATGCGCTATGTGTTAAAGTACTGCCTTTTACATGTCCTGAATTTCCTATTTATTCCACTTCACTGGGTTACAATGGATCATAGCATTATGGGAGATGAAGAATGTCTTCTAATCATTGTCCTCTAGCTGGCTGAATAGCTCAGTGAGTTAGGTATCTGGCTATGGAGTCAAGAGATTAGGAGTTTGACCCCCCACTGTGCCTCCTGGGAGAAAAGCGAACATGTGCAACCTTGGGCAAGCTGTATAGTCTCAGAGCCCCCCCCCAGAAGAAGAGAATGGTAAACAACGTCTGAATATTCTCTACCTGGAAAATCCTGAAAAAAGTCACCATAGGTCAGAACTGACTTGATGGGACATGATTAATATTAATCATTGACATCATATCATCCATAATATTATACAACAGAATCATATCCCCCCCTTACTTGTCTTTTTTTCTAAAGCTCAAATCCCCAAGAATTATAATTGTACTACATAGTCAGTTGCTCTAACCCCTTGATCATGTTGACTGTTAAAATCATTTAAAGGAGTGAAAAACACAATTTATTCTCTGACTTTACAGATTACAGATGACTATCTGCAAGTTGAACTATGAGAGGTAAACAAAACCATTAAACCCAAATAGTTTTGCGGCAACATCTGCTGATTAGAAATGAAGAGTTTGCCAACATGCTAAAACAAACTAACACTATTACTTCTTTGGAAATCAGAAAGCTCACAAATGTATTTCTTATGTAGGTCTTCATCAGAAGCACCATGGGAAGCCCCCAAAACTAACAATGGTAATACAGGAGCATGCGGTTTCTGTAGTTGGAGAATCTTAACCCTTGGGTGTCAAACTTCATGTTATTTCAGTGACATGTCAACAGAAGGAGTAGTCATAATTTGCCTTTAAAACAAATGTTTTGTTTTCACAGTGTGTTCCCATAAACCTCTGAAAATGTTAATCAATTTGTGAATCAGGTGCACATTCCTCAGAACCTTATTTTACAGACTGCTACTATCCACTTAAATTTTAGCAGTACGGTGTCAAAAAAAAACCCCAAACAAACCTGGATGCTAAAATTCCATGGCAGGACGCCGGGGGCTACAAGAGTAACTGAGGGAGTCTGGTGCTCACATCTGCTGAAGCATGTTCTGTGTGATGCTACCTTTGACAATTGCCCAGAAGATGCATCATCTTAAAATTTCTAACAAGAACTGAACATTGGGAATACTTCACATCGGTAGTTTTAGTCCACTTACACAGACATTGCCGAGTATTGTGCATTCCCTTTGAAGCCTTACAAGGTTTGGAATCAAGACTTGGATTCTAACTTGAAGGAGTTTATTATTTTTCACATTCTGTTTGTGGAATTACGCATTTAAGAAAATTGCCTCATTATTTTATTTATTTTTCAAATGTATCTAATAGCTTTAATTAAAGAATCACTGTTAGTGAAAGGAGACATCACACCTTGCAATACTTTAGAAGCAGTTTTCTAAAAGTGTGTGTGAAATGAAAGATGGGCTTTTTCCCTAGATGTCCACTCAAGACAGGTTAGGATAAGAAAGTATCCCTTCACCATGGAGGGAATGGCATATCTGCACCAATGGCTTTGTACCTGCAGAGAATCTCATCCCCATAAATTTACCACACAACTGTGTGTCCCCAATGGGATCATTCTGAGGGTGAACTGGATTCTGTTTTGGACCAACTGATCCAAAGCTCTCTCATTTTGTGATGAGGCTTAGAGTTGGAATAGCCACGTCCCTCTTCCTATTGGTTTCAGCATGTGGGCATATGCAGCGTGTTCCACTGAAAAGCCAGGTAAAATAGCTTGCCAAGGCCAACACTAGCTGGCCTGACAGAGGGAGTGGAGGGTAGTCTATCCCTTTACTCTCGCTCCCACACCCCATTTTCAGGACTGGGCTCTGAGTCACAAAAGCACACTGCTAGTATTTCATAACATTAAAGAGGAGTTTCAGTTATAACCAGTCCCTCATGGCGAAATGCAAATTTTATCTGCTTTGTAAATCTGTAAAAAAAAAATAACTGTTATCCTCTTCAGTTCATTAAAACTTAATGTTTG